TCAATTTGCAAATGCAAATGTATTGTTTCCTCATGAGCCTAAAGGTACCTGGCACTGTACCTGTCGGAGGGGTTCTCTGGATGAAAGTTCCCGGCTGAAGGCCTAACATTCCATAGGAGCAGCTACTGTTCCTCCAGCTGAAATGCTCAGGATGATCTTGAGAGAGAATGAAATCAGGGGACCTCCACCAAAGGCAGGGCTGTGATAATGGGGGACTTCAACCACCTTCGTATTGACTGGATAAACATATGTTTCAGTTTCGTATGTTTATGTTTCCTGGGCAAGGCATCGACCAGAGGGGAGGCATTCCTGGGTTGAGGGTTGCCCAGGACATAGTGTAAGATTTAAATGTTGCTGAACCATTAGGTAGCAGTGACCACACTGGTGCCAATACAGCCGAAGAGGCAGAACACCGTTGGGTCTGTTTGAAATTTCTCTATGCCGCCCATTACTAAAAAAAGTCTCTGGACAGCTTGCAAGGCTTCCAAAGACGACGCTTCCCAAAATTAAGGGAACTGGTCAAGCAGAAGCTGAAGAAGGGAGCCAAGAAGATAAACCAAGAAGAGTAAAATTCAGTACCATTTGAAATGAGTTAAAGGTCCGATTTGTGTTCTTGCAAAATTCATCAGTGCAGAAAGCCTATTTGGGGGGTGCAATCCCCCAGTTTCTACGGTGCAAACACACAACTAGCTGAACCACGGCGGGGGGGGGGGGGTGCCGCATCAGCACGAGGGCAGCATGCTGGGCCATGTGATTGTCTTCCTGTCCTTGGTCAGCAATGACCATTTGCCACGAATCTGCAAAACACAAATGTGGACTCCTCCAAAGTGGCTGGACTGATGACAGAACTGTATTTGCAACTCGGAGTCTGAACGGGAAGGGAGCAGAGGAACTGGATGTTTCTGGTGAAGCCGCATCAGGAGTGAGCCTGCGCCTTCCATCTCTTAGCATTTGCAGGAGAGCATTTCGTCGTTTTGTTATTACATCAGAGCTCATCCCATGGAGGCACCTTGCTGGCAATAACGTGGCCTTTGAGTGACATCCAGTGTTCAAACGCAGCACTGCTCTTCAAGGACATGGTTGCAGTCGCAAGCAACACTCAGCCAAAAGGGCAGGGCCTCTGAGCGGAAGGTCTCCAAGCCATCCCCAGCTCATGCACGGCTGGGGCAGGCGCTGGCCCCTCCGCAACGGGGAGCAAAGCCGTTCCCAGGGAGACCCACGGAAACGGGGAGGCGGCCAACTCAGTGCTCACTCCCCCCGGCGCAGTGGCCAGATGGAAGGCACTGCTTCCCAGATGCGCACTGCAAGTGCAGACACAACAAGGACGTGTCCACCCAGCTGCCATGCTGCCGTTCAGAGGAGCCCGGTGGGAGGACTTTGCTCGTCTGCGATGCCACTTACCGAGATCTGGCTGGCTACGTAGCGCCATGATATGCCCTGCATGGTCCTTGATTGGCTGGGGCCACTCCGCAATGAAATCATCCAAAGTAAAACGGAAGGAAGGAACCAAAGCAGCAGCAGCCGCCGCCGCATGGAAACAGTGGCTGCAAAGAGGAGAAATGACGAACGCACGGATGCGGGGAAGGCAGGCTCGGTGGGGTCCTTATACAAGCGTTTATGGAAAGCGGAAGTGAGCAACTGGCACGGTAGTCAGTCGGTAAGGCAGCCGGCCCTGGGCCTGCATCAAGCCAGAACCTGCTGCGGATTCCAGCATTGTCTCAGCAAGCTGAAACTGCTTCTTTCAATCAAAGCCCGGGAGAATGTGACAAAGTGTCGACTGGCTAGAAATCCCACCGGAAAGGAAGACGGGCCGCACGCCAGCACTTCCCTTGCAGAACCCACTGCTGGTTCGGGGCATCAAGACCGCATTAGCGAGTGTGTGCCTTGCTGTGGCCGCTTGCCCAAACATGCCTGTGGCAGAGGAGCTGCAGATCCCATCTCTTCTGCGATACAGAAACTAGAGGCAGCCAGCGGTCAAAGAGCGCTCCATTTTCTCGTTCTCCAAGTGGGCTTCAACGGCCCTTCTTCAGCAGCAGGCCTGTCTCTCCCGCAGGGAGAAGCAGCTGTGCCAGACTAGGAGCCACAACAGAAAGGACGGTTTCCAAGCGAGCGCTGGCTCCTTTGCAGAGCAACAATGCCGTGTTTGCCGCTTTCCTTCTCTGTCCCGCTCCAGTCGCTGGAGGGCCACTCTTGGGCTGTAAACAGCTAGTGTGACCCTGCTCTCCCTCGGGTGGAATTTGACAAGCCTGCTTCTTGCCTAAAGTTCCCCAAAAGCCGATTTTTACCTAAGTCCGTAGATCCTCTGTACTGGGGCTTTTTAAAATTGGCAAGTTCCAATGCAAGTCAAAAAGTGCAATTCAAAAAAAATTGTGCAGTTCAAGATCCAAGTCATGCAACAGTTTTATCATATTAGTGGATGTCAAAAGTGTCTGATGACAATGGGAAAAGTAAGGCGAATAATCCGGACTCCTCTGAAAATGCAGGCTAGCCGCGCCCATTCCTCCTCCTCCTGCGCAGGCATTCCCACAGGCTCCACTGCTGTTCTCCGACAGCCAGCACGGCTTCGTTCGGGAATGCTGGCCGAGGACCTTGCACAGTCCACGTGAACCATGAAAGCGGTGAGGAGCCCTGGGAACAAAGTGTCAGCCCACATCGAGTTTGGCGACCAGCTGAGGAGGCCGGGCCATGGGGCTCCTTGCTAGTCAGGAGGGAACAGGGCCACGAATGGCAAGGAAGTGCATCTGCTGCCCTCTCCAGTAGGACAGATAAAGGAAATGGCTAAAACCCCAACCCCAACCCCCGCCGCTTTGTTAGGTGAGCAAACCCAGTAGCACCAGCTAAACCAGCGGTGAAGGTAGAAAACCAGCTGGGCTACCCAGGGCATCGTACAGGGTGCCACAGCTACAACCCTCTACCAGCTGGACAGGAGCCGTGGGGGCGTGCTTGGTGTGAGCACGGTCGTCCCCGGAAGCCAAGGCTGCTGACCTGCAGAAGCAAGGAGGGGGCAGGCTGCATGAGGGCCCCCAGGACCACCCAGCAGGGTCCCAGTCCCTGGAAAAAGGGGAAACTAGGAAGTGGGAAATGACCTCTTTGGATGGACCCATTCCTTGGAAGGCGAATATGCATCCTCTCCCACGGAGGATGTCCCTCCAGGAGTGGGGACAAGTGGGACAGTCGGTCGTTAGGGACATAGAAGGCTGGGTCCGCGACGGACTTGTGGAGCACGGGAGGAACCATCTGCCTGATGCAAAGGCCGTGCCTATCATGTGTCCCCTGCACGGGCTCAGTGGCCAGGGGGCCAACGCTGGTACTGGCGATGTGGGAAAGTGCAGCTGTGCGCCTGAAAGCCACACGCAGGCTTGCTAGGTAGAAGGGCGAGACCCAGGACCTCCACGGTGGCTTTCTCCAAAACGCCACTGGTTCCACGGGCGAGGCCAGCCGGAGCGCTGCAGCGGAGGCGTCACCGCGCACGGGTGAGATGGGGGCGCAGGGCAACTGAGGGCAACACGCCCCCGAGTTCCGGATGAACAGAGTCGCTGGTTTCAAGTAAATCTTAATAGCACGGAAGACAAAACCAACCCCTGATGCCGCCGCACTGGAGAAGCCAGTGGGTTGAACAGCATCCCCAAAGTGCCCCCTTCTGGAGCCGGCCCTCCAAGCGTGAATGGAGCCACCGCAAAGCCGTACCACTCCTGCCCCCACCCTCAGCGCCAGCGCACCCCGCAGGGCCGCGCAAGCCACCCACAGCGGGGCACGCAGGAGCGGTCGCGTCCTCCACCTGGGCCATCACTGGGGCAGGGAGAGCATCTCACCCACTCTTCGTCAACGGTTTCCTTTTCCTGATTTTCCCTGCCTCCCTCCCTGCCTTCCCTTAATTCATCCATCCTCCCCCTTGCACATTTCTTCCCATCCAGTGCTTCTTGCAGGTACTCAGACAGTCTGGAACAGGTGCTGCACCTGCTTCTTGTGCAGCTGAAGAATACCTGGACGGCACCTGCCCCTGCTCACCTGCCCCAGCAGGGGTGACCGCCTGGTGGGGGCCATCGGTTTGGGCCCACCTAGGCAGGAGGCAGGGCCCTCGCCACCACAGCTTCCAGCTGGCTCATCCACGTTCTTCCCAGGGAGAAATCCTCCTCCTGCCTCTCCAGCTGCTGGAAGAAGCAGGAAAACCCCACCAAGGAGCCAGCGGGTGCTTCTTTCCCTGCTGGGCTGCACGAGATGCTTTATCTCAGTAATGATAAACTGGCCTTTTCTCTCAAGCCCATCCAGACTTCCATGCACCCCCTGGGCCCCTGGTCTCCTTGCCAACAGCTCTTTTGGCAACTGCTTGCAAACTGCCTGGCTCATCCTTGCCTGCAGCCACTTTAAGTCCCCTCCTGAAGAGCTTGGCCATTTTCAGGCAACCCAGGAAGGGCAGTGCCCAGGAATTTTCAGAAGTGCAAGTTCAGCAGCCATCAAAGACCACCTGGAGTAACGCCTGACCCTCTCCCCATTCCAAAGCTGCTTAAAATACAAGCTGGGATGCATGCTGGATTCCTGGGGGAAATGTGGATGCGAAGGGGGTGAGGGGGAAGTGACTGAAAACACACGCAGAAAAGAATGCCTGCATCAAATGTGGGGGGCGGGGGGGGATAGAGCCCTATGCATGTTTAAGAAAGCCATACAATTCCGATTGCCCCAACCACCCTGACCGGCTGGAGGGATGCTGGCAATTGTGGGGCTTCCCTGCCCAAACAGGCACGAGGCTGCACCTTCAAATGGCCAACAGTGGGCATGTGGGTGCGTCCCTTGCACCCGTGTGCATGGAGGGAGGGAGCATCGTGGATCCGGGGCCGCCACGCGTGGAAAAGCCACGAGGAGACATCTTCGGCTCCATCCACTGCCCTCAGGCAGCCCCAGAGCATTAATCAGGGTGGAAAGCGATGCTCAGGATGGGCAAATGACCGCACTTTTGCATTGCATTCAGCAACAGCGGTACCACCCAGCGGAAGCTACAGAAGTTTCGATCACAGAGCCTAGCTAAGGCTTTATTCGTGTGCCCCTGGCTTTTCTGTCATATCTGGGTCTTACAAGCACTCGTGCTCTGTGGCAGGAACAGACACGTGGGTGCCTTGCAGAGGTTTCAGGCAGCAGCCCCCAGAGGTGCCAGCCCACATGGCGAATGGACAGGGTCCAGGAGCGCTGTGCTGCAAAAGGCGGTCAGGGCGCCTGTTCCTTCCATACTGGATCACCACCACAGGGAAGAACCAGCAGCTGCATGCAAGTGAGCTGCGACTGAATAGAGAGCGTCGAAGACACGAGGGGCGTCTTCCTCATACTGCCATCACAACAGAGCGGGGAAGAGCCAAGCATTTCATTTTCCACAGGAGCCTGTACATATTACATGGCGCACCCATAGCTTATATCAATATGCAGCTACAAATGATGTGATCCTAAATTGCTGAGAAGTGTATTTCGCAGGGATAAATACTCTCATAAATTTCTCCAGCACGCCTGTATCAGTTTTCATTCCTGAATGCACTTTGAAGAAACGTGCACACTTGGGTAATCCGGTATGTTTTTGCCAGTCCTGTGCTGCCGTCCATCTTCTGGTTCTGTTTTCCATGATCTGACAGACCCTCTGCCTGCAATCGCGACAGCCACCCGGTGACAGCCTGGAGGCGATGTGCTTCCCGCACGGCGCTTCCCTCACAACGGCAACCAGCAGCAGAGAAGCGAGAGGCTCCTGGCCACACCTGCCTCGAGAACCTCCCACTCTCACCTCAGCTCCAAGCGACTTGGGTCCTGTGTTCTGAAGGAACGGCACGCTGGAGGAAAAGACACCCCAGGAGAAGGAAGCAACCCCTGCTGTTTTGGTTGACCGCCACCCAAGACATGGATGGTGGGCACTCAGAGCAAGTCCACGGCCTCAGTGTGCGGAAGGGCGACGCCAATCCACTGCTCCTCCTCCTGAAAGGATCGCGACGAGGAAGAGGAGCAGATGTGATCCTCGCAAAGTCTTCGGGCTCAGTGGCAACGTCTGCGAGAGCAACCTGCTGCATCGGGCCCTGAATTCCAGCACCCGGGAAAGCCAACATTCTAACTTCATTTGCAGTATTTCTGCATTTTTTTGTAAAACCTGCAAAATGTTGAGGTACAGCAGCAAGTTTCATGTCTAACTTTATCAAAGGCTAAAAAGAAATTTCACATTTGGTTTTTTTTTCCAAACAGCAATGCTTAAAAAAAAATCCTTCCCATCTTCCTTGAGAAGAAACTCCATTTTGCCGCCACAAGGGGCTGTACTGAGTCCACGAAGAGCGCAAGGGAGCGAAGAGGGATCCTTGCATCTTCCAAAAGTCACTGCAAAAAGGAGTATTTATGGCATGTTGCAGACTAACCAGCCTCTGGTAGGGAGGTAAGTAGCACAGGCCCATTCAGACAGATTCAAGGATGAGGGAACCAGGGAAAAGGATCGCCCTGGCTCAGTCCTCCAGATTTTTATCAGGCCCAGAGGACATAAAAGCTGCATGGGCACCAGCTGCAAAAATCCTGCCGGCCGAAGCAGGCAAACTTCAGAGCAGCCTAGAGGAGCGGAAAGGGGAGCTGCGTGGAGCCCCGGCTCACGGGCCCCGTGCTGGGCAGCAGGCAGAGCCATTTCATGGAGGCTGCCAGTGCTCGCTCCCACCGACGCCAGTGGGTGCCAGCTTCTTCCGGGCATTCGATGCTATGTGCGTGCAGGACTTTAAAGGGCTCTTTGCATACTTCAGCAAGCGTTCCTCAAGTCTGGAGATGAGTGGGTGCCGTATGGAAGCGTCTTAGATGTGCTGCTGGAGAGAAATCACCGGGACACGGGTTGTGCAGAGGCGGGCGGCAATGAAGCATCTGCTCACTGCGGATTCCATGAACGGCAGCTCCATCTGCTCAGAACGCTTTCAGACTGATGCATTTTCAAGAGATGAAAAGAAGTCCCATTCCTGAAGGGCAAGGAGCAAAGGAACGACATCCATCAGGCACACGGTGGGACACGCTTCCAGCGCTTTCAAGCCGACTTACGCAAGTGTCCTCCCAGTTGCAGGCTCCTTCCGGAAAGGTACATGCAGAGCGACTGACTTCAAGCAAGAGAAACCAGTTACATGCTGCAAGTTACCCAGAAGGGAAATTTCCTCCTCCTATTGGGGCTCTGCCAAAGTCCCAAGCACTGGGATTTACTCTCCTAGAGATGGGAGCGTGCAGCTGCTGCAGCCTCCATCACAGAGAAGGAAAAGATCCCCACTCCCTTGGGATTTGTCTTGCAGAGGCAGCCTAGCGTTCCCCACATGCCTGCTAGCCAATATACTTCTTTTCCCTTTGCTTCATGTATCCCCCAAAGGTTTGCTATCAGAGCACGAAAAATGAAAACTCCCAAGCGGAGGTGACCATTCTAAGCATGCTTCTCAGCAAGGAGGTAAGGTGAGCATCTCTCTTTCGAAATGACCCTGCCACACCCACGGCGGGCGGCCGAGGCCGAGCGTTCTGGCCTTCCTGGATTCCCGCAAAATGTGCCCAGAGGCACTGGCGGCAGCAAGTCCTCCTATGAATGTCCATTTAGGGCTCTCCAGGATCCCCGGGCCCTTCAGCTAATTTCCTGCAGCGTACAAAGGGCTGGTCTGCGTGTTTGCGAGCCCCTGCTTAGCTGACAGAAACAAACACATGCTGCAAGCCAGCACTGCCACGCTGAATACTCTGGCTGCACCCACCGCTGGCCACAACGGGCACACCTGGGCAGGGGGCTCATTGCCGTGGCTAAAGCAGAACCCTGAAGCCGCCCATGGGTGCCCACTGCCCCCTGCCTTTGGTTTTTAGCTCATTTCTTATGCTTTTGCAATTGACCTTTTTTAAAGCGAGGACAGGACACAACGCTGCTCCAGCACCACCGCTGCCTGGACCCAGGAGGTGGGTTCACGCTTTGGAATTCAGACCCCAGCTCTGCCTTCTGCTTAAGCTCCAGGACAAATTATTGCTCTTTAATGTGTTGGGACCAGCCTACCATGGCAGCCATCTTAGGGCGCTCACAACACACTCAGCATCCCAAGTGTGTGCACTCATCTGAAAATGCTGGGAATCACTCAAGTGCAAACAGAGCCAGCACCGTGGAGCCAGCGGTCCTGCCTTTTGGAAAATGGCTTCTGCGTACAATGGACCACAGGCATCTCACTCACGTTCTCCACTGCCATGCTAAAGTTCTGCGCGAGGGCACAATGCGAGAGTCTGTGCATACTTCCCTTTTTAATACACACATGCGCGCGCACACGCTCGCCCTCGCCCTCAAAGTACTGTACCGCCTTCGCTTTTAATAGCAGGACGACAATCTTCTCATCAATCCGGCCCCAGAAAATTTCTGCCCTGCAGCATTTACAGGCACAACAGAGCACTGGAAACCTCAGGAAGGAAAGTTCCCTTCAACTCGTCAGAAGGGTCAACTTTGTCCAGGACTTAGTGGCATTAAGTGGGCTGAGTATCAGATTGGATTCTTATTCTTCTGACCACTTTTAACTCATCTGTGGAGATCCACATGGAAAAGGAGCTGAAACTGCTTGTGACCTGCCCCACCTCAAAGGAGGTCCAAGCCGTCTCTAGAACCAGACCAGTCAGCCATTGCCGTGTGGCGGGAGTCACCTTGCCATCCCAGCGCAAGCGCACTTGTTCTCCCAGCGCGCAGAGGCCACGCCAAGATCAGGCAGGCCGAACTCGCCGTGAAGGGCCAGAAACCCCCTGCCTCTGGAGCAGTCCCCGACAGCTCTGTCCACAGGCAGTCCCCACAGACCACCGACGCCTGCTGCCCCAACTAGTTCTGAAGGTTGATGAAGTTGGCGAAGCCCACATCCTGCAGAAGGACCAGGGCGCGCTGCAGCGGGGGCTCCACGTCCAGCTCCACGCCACGGCTCCGCAGGACGCTCAGGCTGGACTCCACCACGTCGTGGCAGTGCTTCACCTTCAGCGCACGCAGCTTGGGGCAGTACTCCGCCAAGGTCCTGCCGAAAGAGAGCACGTAAGCGGTGAAGCCCAGCCCCCCGGCACCTGTGCCCTCAGGATGGGCTGGGGAGGGGTGGCAGGCGGACAGCCCCAGGGTCAGCCCCTCCTGAAAGGATCTCAGGCAACCATCTGAGAAAGACGGCAGAACAGACAGCACCTGGCTAGAGCTGTCATTTGTCTCTTGTAGGGCAGGGCAGCGCTTACCCGCAAAGATGGGACACACGGCAGGGCAGGGTTGGGACTGAAAGTTGGAATAGGCACAAAAGTCAGCGATAAAAACGCCCAGTTCTGGGACAAGACGTGAGGAATAATGGAATCGGGCAACTCTGTCATGATTCCAAAGCAAAATAGAATCCTGCACAAATAATTTAGCATCTTTTTACACCTCTTCCTGCTATAGTTCAAGGGAAATAGGCTTGGCAGACCAGTCACTGGGAACACAGACATAGAAAGGGGCTTCCACCCGCTGCGTGAGGGTCACTCCGCGTGGCTTTCTGCAACTCTGCTATGCAGAGCAACAAGAAACCAAGACTCAAAGCCCTTCCTCTGCAATCCACATGCCTGACCAGGGGGTCTCTGGACTCTTGCTTCTGCCAGCAACACCAGAGAGAACTGCAACCAAGTGCAGTCTTTGTGCTTATGTTGGGCCTGGGCTGTTCTGCGGCTCCTTTGCCAAGAGCACGGAAGAGAGGACTGGCCCGCTCAGCTGGATCAGTGGCATCTCGGCTGGCCCAGGCACACGCACTCCCCCTCCCAGGAGAAGCGTGGGGAGGGGGACCGGAAGCCGTGGCTGCTCTCCCTCAGGCACGCCCTCAGCAGCCCTGGTGCTCCGCAGGCCAAGTACCCGGCCTGAGCTCAGCAGGGGCTCACCAGGAGGAGGGGGAGGAGCTGCTGCTCTGCCCGGGCTGCCTCCGGCAAGTGTCTGCCTGGCAGGTGACCGAGGAAAGCGGAGCTGGCCAGAGGGGCGCCCCTCATACGCAGCCAGGGACTGCGGCGGGTGGGGAAGGCTGAGAAGGGCGCTTGGTGTGCTTGCACCGCTGAGGGGACTGCCTGGCCTCTACTTCACGTGGCCGGCATGCCTTACACTCGCCCCCAGTATGAAGCACTCTGCTATGTAAATGTGTTCACCGATTGTGGAGTGGAAGGGGCCAAAGGGCCATTGGGTCCAACTGCCTGCTCAGGCCAGGACTCCCAGTTAAACCATCCTTCCCAGAGGGCTGTCCAGCCACTTCTTGGACGCCTCCAGGGTGGGAGGGGCCAAAACCTCATGGGGTCATTGGCTCCATTCTCATGGCACTCCACCCGTCAGGAAATTTTCCCTGATTCCCAGCTGGAATCTGGTTTCCTGTCCCTTCATTATTCTTTTTGTTATATTCTTGGTTCTTGCTTTTCATCAGTTATATTCAGATTATGCTCTATAGTTTTACATTTACATTGATTCTAAAGTGCAAGTGTGCATATTGGAAGCATGTGGCCATAAAAGGGAGAATACACATATTTTTTAAAAAATTAAATGAGTTATCACCCTCCTCATAGTAACGGGGGAAAAAACTAAGGTTGAAGTGGCTGTTTCTACATATGCACAAGCCATGGTGCCCCTGTGCTGTTTGCTGATGGACAATCCACACCCATCAAACGGGGGCAGGGGGGCCAGAAGTGCAGAAATACCCAGACAGAACACAAAAAGCAAGCTACAAAGACCAGCAGGTTCAGTGCATTTTGCAGATCAAGGAAAGACTAGACAACCACATGGTGGGCATGACGTGAGCAGAGCCGGCTGGAGCCAGGGGTCAGACTAGATGGCCCAGGAGGACCCTCCTGACTCGCTTTGTTTCCCTTATGTGTCTATGCTTTCTGTTTCTATGAGGTTTTCTTGGTAAAGGAAAAATGAGCCTGTTGAGGCCTCCATGCAAACGGCTCCAAAGCAGCCCGGTGGTCACCCAGTCTGTGGCCTCCTGAGCAGCATTCGTGGAAGAGTCTCCTGTGCCTCTTCCACCTCATTTTTATTTTATTTATTTTCCAATTTATCTCCTGCCTTTTTCCTACAAAGGGCTCAAGGCAGCTTACATCTCCTCCTCCATCTTATCCCCACAACAACAACCCTGTGAGGTGGGTTGGGCTGAGCGTCTGTGACTGGCCCAGAGTCACCCAGTGGGCTCCATGGCTGAGCGGGGACTAGAACCCCGATCGCCTGAGTCCCAGTCCCATGCTCTTAACCACTACATCACACTGGCTCTCATCCCCACGGCTGCACCGCTCCCACCTGCTCCCGCTTCCCCACATTCACCAACCCTTCCCCCCAGTTTGGATACTTCAAGGAAGTTCGGAATTCCAGTCGGGACCAGGCAGGTGGGAAGAGCGGGCCGTCCCATGCAGAACCACCATCCTCATGGGGAGGCCTGCATGCAGGCAGAGCTTGGAGGGGCCCATTTTCCTGCCCACAAAGGGCTGGTGAGAGCCACGCTGGGCCGGGGAGACCAGCCCTGAGCACACGCGGCAGCCTGGGCCCGTCACCATTTTTATAAAACCACACGTTCCTCCCAGAGCACCTTGGGAGGCAGGCGGGCGACATGTGCAAAGCCTCCACACGTGCTGTGGCCTCGCTCCTGCTGTGCGTGGGTTACCTGATGGAATGGTTCTTGACCCGCAGGCAGCCCGTGAGGTCCAGGTGCTCCAGCTCCGGGCAGGCTTTGGCAATCTCCTCCACGGCCGCATCACCGACATTAGCATTGACGGCGAGCGAGAGGGACTTCAGTCTGTGACACTTCTGGACGAGGTAGCAGATGGCTTCGTCTTTCAGCTGCCGGCACGCGGTCAGGTCCAGCGATTCCAGCTCCCGGCAGTGGTCAGCGAGGCTCCGCAGGGACAGGCCGTCCACCCACTCGCAGTGCGCTAGAGAAAGCTGCCGTAGACCGGGGCAGCTCAGCGAGATGGCGACCAGCACGTGCCGGCTGAGCTGCGCGCAGCCGCTTAGCTCGATCTGCTGCAAACCCGGGTTCTGCGCAATCACGGGCAGCAGGTCCTGGTCGGAGAGCCAGTCGGAGCAGTTCCGCAGGGCTAGCTGTTGCAGCAGCACGACTTCTTTCAGCAGACTGCGGAACGCAGCCCTCGGGAAACGAGGTCCCACCTGCCAAAGGCGAGATGGCAAGCTGATTACAGCAGCATCCCAAGCCCCTGCCAAGAGTCCCCTCCTCTTGCCCTCGCCACTGCCATTATTTTATTTTTTTTGGCAAAACTAACACCAACAGAGAGGAGAGCAAAATGCAGGGGAATCCCTTTAGTATCATCATTAACAAAGATTGTCAAGTCATCCCTGCCTAGAATAGCATACTAGTTCCACCAAATACAGTGGTACCTTGGCTCACGAATGCCTCAGTTCATGACCAAATTGGGTCGCGAACAGAAATTTCTGAAAAATTTTGCCTGGGGTCATGAACTCTGCACTGGGTGACGATCGTGAGCGCACCCGCCTTCCCTGCATGGGCGCGATCGCGGTCATGCTGGGTGGGGAGGGGATGCCCACAATTGCACCCGTGTTCCCTGCCTGAGCGCGCCCGCATCCGCCTCCCCCCACAGCCCCACACCATCGCTGGGGAGGAGATGGTCACGATCTTTGTTGTTCTTTGTCACTCTGCTTCAAATTTTGTGAGTAAAAAAATAGTTGCAGAACGGATTAACCTCATTTACGTTGACCCTTATGGGGAAATTTGACTTGGCTCACGACCAATCTGGGTCACAACCAGAGTCCTGGAATGGATTAAGTTCGTGAGCCAAGGTCCCACTGTACAAGCAAGCAGCATGCTCCTAAACTTTGCTATAGTCTAGAGACACCTTTGCTTTGTCACATATGCGCATTGTTTTGGTTTTTAAAAAAGCAGCAGTTATCTGGGTTTGGGCACCGAATCTAAGGTTTTGACTTTATACTATGTTTAAATAAAAAAAACAAAGGAACCCAATTCTTTTCATAGAGAAAGACTGCTCTATTCTGCTTCTTTTTACTCAGCTGGACTAGAAATTTTCTTTCTTGTTTGAAATTGATTATTGAATGAAGTCACTACAGAAGCTCCAAAGGTTTGGTCCCCCAAAAAGTAAGTTTGGCAAGAAAAGTCTCTTATTTGGGTATGCCAGTTATCAACATTAGTGTGTAACTAACCAAATTTGAACAAGGACTCTACAACTGCACACACGGAGTGGTGACAGCTCAGTATTGCTGACTGCCAGGTATTACAGTTCCCTGTCATCAGCCACCCCCACCCTGCACAGGATTGCGTGCACACATGCAGTCCGTAATACCTGGCTAGAATCAAAGCAGCGCATGTTGGTGAGGTAACGCTGAATTAAACACTGGAATGTCTTGCTGACTCTCTGCAGCTGTACGAGTTGCCTCAAAGGAAGATAGGAGAGAATGTGGGGAAAGAGGACATCCTCCCAGGGCAGGTCCAAGAACTGCTTTCTGCAATAAAGAGAGAAGCCGGTCAAGACGGCTGTTGGGTACAAGGAGTGGGTGGGCCACGATGTGATGCGTGAAAGGCTCCAGTCACCGACAAAGCCACTGCCGTTCCAGTTCCTGAAATATATGCACCTTCCTCGGGCATTGAGGCATTCTTGCTGCAAAGAAGGGCAGGGGGCGCCGAGTTCAGTCCTCCATCGCTCAGCTTCCCATGCAGCAATGTGGGAGCGATCCTCAACTAGATGTCATACACTGCTCTGACTCCCTTGGACAGCTCCCTACTGAAATCCTGTACCGGGGCTGCGCAGGAGGCAATTCCAGTGCAGCTGCTGACACCCCGCCCGCGCAGGGGGCAAGCACAGGGTGGCGCGGGGTGGGGGGGCGGAGCACGTCCTCCTGCTTGCCCGACAGCAGGGCGGGCCGCGGTCAGCACTGGATCCCGCGATCCCCCCTCCTTCGGCCTCCTGTCCACTCAAGGAGCACCTCCTCCCGCCTAAGGAAGGCGAGGCCGGGCGGCTCGGGGGCCGGGCCGGGGCACACGGGTCCCGGTCTCCGCTCGGCCAGGAGGCTCGCTGGGCGCCGCGCGGCCGGCGCCTCCAGAGGAGAGGCGGCCGAGGGAGCCCGCCCAGCGGGGACCCGCGTCCGCGCGACCGAGGCCGAAGGGCCGCCGCCGCCCCGCCGCGCCGCGCCCC